TATAGCGGCGTTTTTTTGATACAAACGCCGTAAAAGGTCAATCTGTAGCGGCATTTTTTGATACAAACGCCGCAAAAGGTCAAATCTATAGCGGAGTTTTTTGATACAAACGCCGCAAAAGGTTAGATCTATAGCGGCGTTTTTGGATATAAACGCCGCAAAAGGTCAAATCTATAGCGACGTTTTTGGATACAAACTATGTATTTAGTGGCGTTTTTTATACAAACGCCGCGAATTAAAACTAATTTTTCAAATGTTGTTTTGTACTATTTCGTTACCCAAATTTAACCTGTAGTATTATCCAATAAACTTGACATCATAACAACAAACTTGAAATCCATAATAAGAAACTTGAAATCCATAATAATAAATCAAAGTTTACATTAACGTAAAATATAATGTAGTTAAACATTGTTAACTAGAGTAAACAACAATAAATCAAAGTCTTCACATTTTTCTTCTTCTCAACTTCCTTGGCAAAGTACTTGTCATCGAACTTCTCTACGTTAACTCTAGAGATGTCAAGCTTGGTAGAAGTTGCAATAACATAGCATTGGTTCACCCGCCTTAGAGGAACACCATTGATCTTGAATGGTCCTACAGTGAAACATTATCCAAATATAAGCAAAAGCATGAGAGATTCAAATAAAAAGAACCTCTAGTTTACTAGAAATAACAAACGTGTATCAATAAACAAGCCTCCGTATAAGCTCCACAAGAGGCACACATGGACAATATCTACAATTGGCACCCGAGTAAATCTTGATCATGATTTCATGATCGCAGGGCTTAAACACATGCATGTTGAATGGTTAAATGGATTGTATCATAACAGGATTCAACATATAAGCAGATGTGGAACAAAAGCAAGCGCACAACATTTTGCTTGAGAAAAACACAGAAATATCAGTTCAAACAGCCACAGCCCATGCTGAAATGATCAATTAATTTTCATAATTTATTACTTTAGAATGATTTACAACTGTCTTAGATCGAAGTGCTCCAATTTTCAGTTAAAATTGAACTAACCAACCAAATTTAATTCATCTAGGTTAATCAAAAATTCATTCAAGTCGACCATTAACATTTTATTTAAGTTAAATTAGCTGATCTTCAGTTTGGTTACGAAAAGATTTACCGATAGAACACTACCAGAAATTTAGAATTACAGTGGCAATTACTGGTTTCATTTCTTGAAGATAGTTTCCAAAAATGCGTTCAACTACGAAACAAAACATAGGCAAAATGCAACAATCAGAAACAGTAAACAACATATCAGAGCATATAACTCACTGTCAACCAAGCTAAATGCAACAATCAGAAACAATAAACCATCCTCATCTAGACTTGAAAGGATATTCACATTGAATCAAAGTGCATCAATCAGAAACAATAAACCATCCTCACCTAGACTTGCAAGGAACTTCACATTGAATCAAATTTTCTATCCAATAAAGTATCAAATGCAAAAACATGTCCCTTTTGCATGTCTTCATTGTGCCATAAGGATTTAAACAACTCATGCTCACATGGTACACAAACCATCTAATAAATATTTTTAACAAGGCATTCTCACCAAAGAAACCCACAAGTGAATTCTGTTGGTCAATTACCTAGCTCACTAAAGCAAATACAAAGAACCTCAAATTTCTCACATACATAATCGAAGGTAAAAGCAGCAATCCATACATATTGGGCATTAGAACTCGACCTTGGGAGTGTTCCTCTCTCAAACCACATTATTGATTTAGATTTTAGAAGCATGGGCCACCACACTGTTTTTTATCAACATTCCAGGGGAAAGCTTTCTGCTTTTAAGCAGAGCAATTAACTATAAAACTTAAGATTTTCCCTTTTGATCCAGATTAAGGAAACTTTTATTTCATCCTCATAGTACATGTTACATGATTGGCTTAGTTAATTGATATCGTGTAACAAGGACAGTCCTATGATGCACAGTGAGATGACCTGTCTTTCAAACCAGATAAATTGTTTGATTCTAGTTAACTTACAAGTTTCAACAAGATGGAATTCACACTTATCCTCAAATCTTTTTCGGCCACAAAATATTATTTTATGTTGAATTCCTTAACATGAAATTAATCATAATTTGATGACCTTGACGCTTAGTGAATTTCTTTTCTCAAACTAATCAAATTTAAATTATCTAAAAAGGGGAGGTTTTATTCAGCTGTATTGCATAAAGCATATCAAGCACCAACTATGCCAAACTTCAAATTTTTGGAGATATTATTCACTATTTGATGAACTAAAGGAATTTCACCAAAGATTGTTGGAGGAACTTTTACTTCATTAATGGAGCAAAGTAATAACATAAATGACAGGCTTAAATATAACAAATTCCACAAATTAACTCAAAGAGAAATACAGGCTTAAGTATTCTATGAAGCAAACTATCAGACTTTAATACTTTCAAGAAGGAAAATACGGTCCCAAACCTCAAACTTTGAGAAGCATCATTTTGTTAGAAAAAACAATGACAATCCAATCCGGTTGAGCAGCAGACCACTGCAATTGATTGATTTCTGAGCCAGCAGAGTACACACACAAAGGGTATTCTACTTTTCATCAATTACTTGCATCTTACCTTGTCGAAATCTCTTGCTTTTGAGAGTATTCAGCTTCTCCGGCGACTTAGGGCAAGGAATGTTTTCCTTTATAATTGATAAATTAAATAAAAAATTAAAACAATTTCAAAGCAGTAAAGAAACAGATACTCTTTGACAAATTATAAATAATACATTGTTGCAACCAAATCCGTTCATCAAGTTCTGATTATCAGGAGTGATATAATCAGGAGTGTTGCATCCATCATAAAAAAACGAATAACCTAAATAAGAAATTCAGAATAATATAGAATCCAAAGAGTAGAAGATGTACCAAAAGAAGTCCTGACTGAGAATGAAATCCTTGTCATCGGCGGTGTCGAGGTCGGGACCGGAAGTGGAAGGATCATCCTGAGATCCGAAATCTAGAAGGTTCTGGGGGAAGAGAGAGGACGAGGTGGCGAAAGATGATTGGTGACTGTGAAACTGAACCTTAAAGTGCTGCTCCAATGTCCCTTGCATCCTATTATGGCTTGGCTGATTCACTCATCTTCTCTTCATCAGCCAAATAAACCCCGATCTCTCTCTAATTTCTCTCCTCAACTCGCTCGTGCGGAATAATATATAAAAATGGGATTTCCCATTTTCCAAAGTATTTTTTTACTGTACTTTTTTGGTGGGTGGAGGGAGAAAAAAGATTTGAAATTTCGCGGGCAATTGCAGCACGAGTCTATAGCGGCTTTTGTAAACACAAACGCCACTAAAGTATGAGTCTTTAGCGGCGTTTGTATAAAAACGCCACTAAAGTACGAGTCTATAGCATCGTTTGTATAAAAATGCCACTAAATCACGATTCTTTAGCGGCGTTTGTAAAAAAAGCCACTAAATCACAGTCTTTAGCAGCGTTTGTATAAAAACGCCACTAAATCATGAGTCTATAGCAGCGTTTGTATAAAAATTCCACTAAATCACGAGTCTATAACGGCGTTTGTATAAAAACGCCACTAAATCACGAGTCTATAGCGGCGTTTTTGAAACAAACGCCGCTAAAGACTCGTACTATTGCGACGTTTGTATAGAAATGCCACTAAATTACAGTCTTTAGCGGGAATGTCATTCCCGGTAATCTTACATTACCAATAGTGGATTTTTTGGGGTATATTACCGGGAATGTCATTACATCCATTTCCTTAGATATTGTTGGATTACCGACGTTTTGAACTAAAATACCCTTAATTTTTTTCTCAAAAATATCCTTATTATATCATTGAATAATAAAAATTCTACGAATGTTAAATTACAAATTTATCCTTAAACTATTTTAGATTTACAAAAAAAATCTATAATTAAAATTTTATATAAAGTTCAGGGGTTAAAAAAAAATTTTACCCTTTCATTAAACATTTTTATATTTTTTAATTTTGCAAAAAAAAATTATATAAAATTTATGAATTTAAATTTTTTAAAGAAAATATATAAATATTTTCCAACTTAAAAAAACAAATATATAATAAGGACAATTTGGTCAAATATACATTCCAATAATATTTTATTCTTTTAACCAAACACGATAATCTTACATTCCTGCTAAACCAACCAAACACAAAATACAACATTTCCATTAATCCTATTCCCTAGTAATCTTTTATTCCCACTGGTAATCTTACATTCCGTGAACCAAACGCACCTTTATACATTTTCCAATTCAATCATTATAGCTAGTATTTTATGTTCATGCAAATCATTTACACAAAATTTAGGTTCAATCATTGTTTTTATTAGTCTGGAAAGGGTATTAGGTAATATTTGTTAAAAGACTCTAAATCATTTGATAATACACGTTTATGCACCTTTGCATGTGTGATGCTCGAACATGATACCTTAAGGGATAAGAAAAATCCTTTAACCACTGAGGTCGTATAATAAATGGTATTTATTTTTACACAATTTACATGTGTGGTGATAGAACATGATACCTTAAGGGATAACAACAATCTCTTAACCACCGAGGTCGTATAATAAATGATATTTATTTTTGCACAATTTACTTAAAAGTAAAAAGGGATAAAAACTATAAATTGTGAATCCATATTAAAAATTGCCAAAAACAAATATTAGTTGAGAAAGGGAAAAAAACTACAAAATGTGGTTTGAATTATTTTAAAGAATTTATATATAAAGACAACAACTTAAATAAAAGAGAAAGAATATTTATTTATTTAGGGTTTTCAGCATTTTCAGCTACCTTGTTCACAATTGTCTAATAAGCAGACGTGTCTCCACTCTTTGCATCTCTCTCGTGTTGGCCGTAGCAATTAATGTTTTATTTGTAACTAATTTTTTCTCCTTTTCCCTTCATTATCTTCTTCTTCATGCTGATTCCTTTGGGTTTCGCTGAGGAAAACTATATATATAATCTTTGCTTTCTTTGTTTTCGGTTTTTCATGATAGAAAATAAAAAGGGAATCGTCAAAAGATTTAAAAGGTGGATCGACGACAAGGGAAGAGGCCACTGCCGTCCGATGATGAATCGGAGGAAAAAGTGGGAGCTGCTGCTGCAGATCATCAGTTCCACACGGGTAGGTCTCAACAAGAAACTAACGCCATGGTTCAGACCCTAGCTCGAGTTATTGCAAACGATAACAATCCACTACTTGTTCAACTTCATCATCAGAATCAACACCAAGAAACTCGACCTCAAGGTATATCTATTTTTGGGTTATTTTTCTTCTTACCATTTGAATCCATCTCCTCGGATTCTTTCCTAAATTTGGTTACTATCGAATAATAGTCATAAACCCTAATTGATTGTATTTTTCTTTGACAACAAACACGACTAATGATTTCGGAAAGATGTTCATTTGATAGCGGGTTCCTAAAGCTATTTTGTTTAAGTTCCAGAATATATGTTTGGTTAAATTATAAGGTCTTTATAACAATTAATGCCTTAACCTAATCCCATAGTTTACAATGGCTTGTCATTGGCCTCTTCCTTTTTCTTCCTTTGCGGCCATGGTGGGCGGAATATGTCAGATTATCTAGTCTTTATTCATCTTACATGTAAATGAGTGAATGTGAAGTTATTCTTTGATTCCTTTTAACATTCATGGAATATTCACAAATGCATAAAAACAAATTAGTTGATTGATTTGTTAATTTAGCTTTTAAAAAAAATATTATACTATTTTGTTTTAAGGAAAGGTGAGGAGGATGCATTATAGAGGCGTTAGGCAACGGCCATGGGGCAAATGGGCGGCTGAAATAAGAGATCCGAACAAGGCTGCTCGCGTTTGGCTCGGAACCTTCGCAACAGCTGAAGCGGCCGCCTTGGCTTACGATGAGGCAGCCCTTAGGTTTAGAGGAAGCAAAGCAAAGCTTAACTTCCCTGAAAGAGTTTATCGAACATCCGAATCCGGTCGTCTCACAACTAGCCATGAAGTCGAAGCAGAGGTGGTGGCGCCGCCGCCAGCTTTACTTCCTTCTCCTTCGCCACTTTCTCAATATCCCTGTATATCCGGTCAGTACGCACGGGCACAGGCAGAGCTTCTTGGAGGTGGAAGCAATGGTTTAAACTATTGTTTACCAGGCGGTGGCTATGGTGGAGCAGTCACCACAGCTTTCACTTTACACTCCACAACCCAGTCTTCATCTTCCTCAACGTTAACTTCTTCATCTGCCTACGGTGGTTCATCTCCAACTCCGAGTTTGGATCCTCCTAAACATTCGATAGAGTATTATGATTATTACTATACTAGATAATAGAATAATTCACGAACCAAACAATCTTAATGATTAACGAACGGTTATTATTTATTGATTTTATGGATTTGAGCACAATATTTATAAGGATGATTCGGTATTCGTTATTAAATAGTTAAGAATATTTTGAATAAATATTATCTTTTAATTACCATTTAAGACAAATTTTATACTATTAATACATCATTTAAGACGAATTCAAACAGGTTTATTTAATCAAATAAATTCACGTATATACTATAGGGTATGCTAAGTCTATTAGACATGTCATTTTGAAAAAAAATAATGGAAAATTTGATTAAGCATTAACTAACATTATACCATTTTTTTAAAAATAGTTTTTGATGATTATATAATATTATTTGTTCACAATCTTTTTTTAATTATTGATAACGCATACATCCTACTGACACAACTACTCAAACCTGGGACCTCGAGGAGAACAACACACCCTCTAACCACTGAAGTTACTCACTAAATTATATGTATATATAAATGTAGAAAAGTGATAGATCTAGAATAAAAGATTAGATTTCGGCTTGTTCGAATAGAAAAAAACTCAATTACATATTACTTGGCTGAATTGCCTCACGACTCGCCTATAGGAGAGCGGTTGTTCTTTGAACCCTCAGTGGACTTGTTAAAGTTCATATCGCAGGAGGCCGCTTATACACCTTAAATTTGCTGCAAGTTTCTGTTTTACAAAAATAATAATAACTTTAATGTCATAAAGATTAAAAATATATATATTATTTTAATGGTATGTTTATTTATTTATTTATTTATTTGGGGGGGGGGATGGCATGGAGATGAGTTTTGAAGTCTAGAGCTAACAAACGGATCTTTTGAGGTAGAAAATGTTTTGAAATAATATAACCATAAAATATATTTATTAGTATTGATTATTACAATAAATATGAAGAAAAATAAAATAACGTTATAACATTACGAAGAATCGATATTTTAGAAGTGATTTCATTTTCAATTAGTGTAATTGAAAATGAAATGTTATTATTGAAGTTAACACGAAATAAAAATAAAAATTATATACTTAAATAAAAAGTATGAAACTGAACTAACATCTAAAAGAATGATATAACGAGAGAAGAGAAAAGAAAAACATTAAATAAATTTTCATGTGTAAAATTTATAGGAGAAACTAGAGGTATAAACAATAAAAAGGGTGACGACAGATTTCCAAAAATCTAATAATTTACCATATACATAAAGATTTGATACTTAATATAAAATTCTTTTAGTTTTATACAGATTTAGGACCGTCGTATAAGTAAAAATATAGATGATTTAGATTAACGGTAAAAAATGAGAAGATATTCACCGAAAAAAAGATAATGAGTCAATTTCAACCATCTATTTTCACTCATCTAATAGTTCTAAATCTATATAAAACTAAAATTTTATATTATGTAAGTGGATCCTAATTGATAAATCTGGGGGAATACAACCATTTGATTATGAACACTTATATTTCTATGTACGTAATATTTGGACCCGAGACCTTAAAAATAACAATAAATCTCTTAATTATTGAAGTCATTTAATTCGTACTTAATTGAATTTATATAGGTGAGGAATTAGGGTAATATTTTATTATTAAATAATGAACTCTAGCTTATTATTGATGGAAAGAAATAATAAATGAGAAAGAAAGGGTCAAAATATGACATAGATATTGGACGTGTCGGAGTCGGAAGGATGGCCATAGAAATCGGCGGCGCCTGAAATCAATACAGTGGGCTTTGATGTTGGGCCGACGCTCTTTCTAATGACTCCCGCCAAGAAGCTTTGACCCCCTCTTAATTATCATTTAAGCACCAGGTAAATAAAATCTATTGAGCCATTTTTGTCAAAAAAATGAATATTATTCAATAAAAGAAAATCTGATTCGAGTTTATAATGTATACATTATTAAAAAAACAAAATAATTTTAAATAAAGATTATTTTATAATTTTGAATAATATTATTTTATAATTGATTTAAGTTATTAAAAAGTCTATCATTAATTGACTTCAGCAGTAAAAAGGGGGTCTTGTTAACAACTTTGATAGATTTTAAATAATATTAATTTGTAATCAATTTAAATTATTCACTATATACATAAATCAATTAATTATAATTTCACATGAAATAAAATTTTGAAAATAACAAAATTAATACGGATGATGAGATCATATGAGATTTAGAGCATAATAAAGTAAAATATTGTAAGCTAATGATAGAATTAACATCGGAATAGAGGTAGTTATGTGATTAATTAGCGGCAGAGAAGGAGCAGAGCTCCCTCACAATCACAGACCAATCGTCCCACATAGCTGTCGTGTCCGGTAATAGAGTCAAACTTTGCGGCAACCACCACGTATTACCCCCTTTCTATTTCATTGTTACTCGTTGACTTTCAAACGCTCCGACTCCGTCGCCTTGATTTCCTTTTTTTATTAACTGATTTCCTCTTCTTTTCCGTAAAGAAAGGCGATGTTCTTTTAAGTAATTAAAGACTTATTTTAATTTATGAGTTTGGGATATGGGTGTAGTCAATACTTTCTAGAAACACTTAAAAGTCAACAAAATTATTGGGGAAACCACGTCCTAGTTAAGTGACGCCGACGCGTCTATGAAGTTCGTCTACATATTATTTTGGGCATAAATATCTACTATGAATATATCCATCTTCTTCTTCCTTATATAAACAAGATACATCTTAGTTACAATAAGCATAATTAATCAATACAAATATAAATTAAAACAATTTTAAATACAATATATAAAAAATAAGATTCGTATGTAATTTACATATAATAATTCCAACATGTGAAATCCAAAGTGACTTCATCCCCCTGTAATAGGGAAAATTGAATGGTTATTATTAGGGTTCTAAACTCCAACACAAATTGGGCCCTGTGTCCTTGAACCGATGCCTAAACTGAATGGTACAGAATACGAATAAAGTTCGGTTCATTGAATACAACAGGAAACATAGTTTGGGCCGTTGATTTAAGACACTCAATTTGGAAATGTGATTTAAGATTAAAATTAGGAAAAGCTATGGTTGGGACTGGTTTTTAACCCACCCAAATCTGATCCGAGTATATATCTTTTCCTTGATTTGAGTTTATGAAAGTTTTATCTGATTTAAAATTCGATTTGATTTCTAAGAAAAAAAATTACATTTGATCTGACTAGATCTTTTACAAAAGATTTTTATTAGATAAAATAAAGATCTAATTAAAAAACATAGATATAACATACTATAGTAATTATCTCTAAATAATTATACTATTGTTCTTCAATTAAAGTATTTCTCACCTTAAATGTGAATTCAATCTAACCTTATCCTTAAAAAACGTTATTTGACCCAAACATAACGCAAACTTAAAAAAAATACAGGAGCTTATCCTTGAATGAATTTTTGTGTCATGTTGTTGCATGGTTGTTTGATGATTTCTTTTTGCCGGATACTCTACTGTCTTTATGAGCATTCGTTCTATACAAGGCCTAGCAAGACCAACGATGAGCAGTTAAACGTTTTCCATTTCCCTCCATTGGCACCGGACGATGAATGATCGATCTCTAGTGGTTTTAGCTTTGTTAGTTGCATGTGAATTGATTCTTCTATCATTCTGGTTTTACTTTTTTTCAGTGTTTATCATGTTCATATGGATATCATACCACTCTACTAAGACATTGGATATTATACAGTGCGATTTGGAAATAAAGTTTGTGATTCAAATACGACTTTCCACGCCTAACACAAATGCCTAGCTAGTTACCCTTCTCTCTTCCTTCAGTATAAGCAAGTCGTGGAATTGTTCACGATGCCAGAAACGGAGTTCGAAGCTGTGGCATTATTCCGTTCGAGATGGCAAAGTTGTCGAAGCTTGGTCGGAACATACCAAATAGCAAGACGGGGATGCGCATTGAAAACCGCATATACGTCCCAGCCCTGGTGAGCAGCGATGGCCACGAGAGGCTTGTAGCAAGCCTGTCTCCATGCACCAACATTCTCACTTCGCTCCTTGAAAGCTCTCCTCAGCGCATTCGATGCGTCCTCGTCGAGGCAATGCAGCGCATAGCAGTGCACATAGTGTCGCATTTTGGGCTTGTTAATGTAGCTCGCCCCGGACTTCTTAGCATATCTGAAAACTTGGTTGGTCACCTGTACGAACACAACAAGGTTAGGATCCGAAAATGGTGGAGCTGTCGGATTAGGGTCACGCCACCTCAGCACGACCGGACAGGGGAAAACGAGGCTTTAAAATGAACAGTTGATTGTTTAAAGACAAAAGTAAAGTACAATCTTGGGGCGGAGGGGAACCTACTCTGCAAAAATTTAGACATACATGTCCCGAGTTTTCAGACCCCATTCCTCGCCGTCCTTGAATTGTCACATTTTCATCGGCTAGAAACCTTTAGATTTAATGGGAGGGTTAGTCCAACCATGTTTTTACGGCTAGTCACGTGTCAAATCTCCTACACCATGCAAAAGACTACACTTGTTTCATAATTTCCCATGAGAATCGGATCCTAAACGGGATATTTCTCTCTCTTTTTTTTCTTTCGTTTACAGATTTGGAATTCAAGGTTTTACTTGAGAAACATCAAATATAGATTTGTTTGTATTGTTACCTTGGTGGGGCATTTTTCGCCGCGCTCCTTGGCGATGTTTTGGACTTGAATCAAGAACTCCCGGCACTGCTCGTAAAGATGGAAGAGGTAATCTAGGCCGTTCTTTTTGCCACGTGCTACCACCCCAGGCTCCGTGACAATGAAAGGGTGTTCTCGCTGTCTCTCGTAGCAGCCTCCGCCGATATCACCGTTTTCATCATCATCTCCGCCCTCTAATTCATCTTCTTCATCGACTTCGACCACCTTCTTCTGCCCTGTCCGGCGTCGTATCTTCTTCTTTCCACCGCCTACCGCCGCATCCCACGTGCCCCCTCCACCGCTCACTGCAGCTTCCCTCTCCTGCTGAACTGCCTCCTCC